CTATCAAAACTTGAAAAATCTTGTGCTGCATTCCCTGAAGAAAGAAAATTTAAGACTGTGAAAGCTTCATGAGTGTTTAATAATAGACTTTTATAGTCTTGACTAAGCAATGGTGATGATGTATTGCAAGATTAATGCATAAATCATTAGGAAGCTTTAGTCACTTTAATACAGCAAGTCCATGTTTTGCTTAATTCTCTGATTCATCCTAAGGCATATATTGAAATTTTGTGTGGCCTTTCATTAAAAACCCCAGCATGTCAGCCACGTTTTGCATCACTTGTCTTTTAATGGAGCACATAGCAGCTGGGCTTTCTGCAGTTTGATCTTGGTGCACTCTGCCCTCCAGGCAAATTAGCACACTGCAAATCGGGGAGCACGGTGAYGGCTGAAAGGAGGGTGACAATTGTGAGAGACAATTGTGAAAGAGGTCCACATCAGGAACGGTTCAGTGCTAGTGCTGGCTGGGCTAAACTGGGCTGTGTGCCTGTCAGGATGGTCAGAAGGCCACTGAGCCTTTTGCTGAGCAGGATGTGGTGGGGAAGGGAGARGGTGCTGTCAGCCAGTCCATAATATCAGTTACACATACCCTCAACGCAAAAGGAGATGTTAATGAGAGTGGAAAGGCTGAGAGCAGCAAGAGAGCCCGTGCACAGGAGGGGTGAAGGGAGTGGGCTGTGCTGAGCAGCAATTTGCTGTCCCCTGTTACTCAGTGSGTGCCCTGACCTCACTTAATGCTCTTTGCTAAACATGGGATCATTGGATGTAAGTGGGAGACCACTGCAGAACACAGACCAGCTAAAGCCAGCCTTGTTTTGAGGAGAAACACGAGTAAGACTGGTTGCCAAGGGGGGTGCTTAACACAGACCCAGTTTTCAAACTGGGATAGCAGCTGAGTCCATATTTAAACACTTAATTAACCACTGCAGGYTTCAGTTTGAAATTTGGCTTCTCATTACAGTTTGAAAATGCATTCCATGGAGAGACTGCCGCTGGAGACAGTACCATGGAGATAAGTGGTAAAATCAGCTTCTGGTGGAAAAAAAAAAAAAAAAAAAAAAAAAAAAAAAAAAAAAAAAAAAAAAAAAAAAAAAAAAAGGAAAAAAAAAATCAGCAAACCTCAAGGTGCTCACTCCAGAACTGAATACCTACTTATTTTGTTCTGGCAAAACAATCCTTTTCATTTTTCCTCCCTAAATTTTCTAATAGTAATTCAAACCTGATGCCTATGTTGCAAAAAATGTTAAGTCAAAAGTAAGAACTTCTGCTAAAAATTAATTGGACACAAAATGCAGAACCTGCCTTATCCTGATCCTTTATTCATCAGCATAGAATCAATAAAACATTATTTTCAAAGAAAGGAGAAGGTCTTGAACGTTGCTGCTCTCCTGGCCAGATTTCAAAGCAGTGAATTAAATTCTGCCTGCCTTAAYTCCTGCACTTTTCATTTGGTGAGTTGTGCACTGCCCGGTTTTATCAGCACTGACTCAGCARAACGCTGTGGAGGGGCATCCCCTGGGGAATGCTGCTGTTTTCTGCAYCAGCCCCACTCAGATGAGTGGGGGAACATGAACTTCTCCAAGCTACTGGTGCCAGGCAAGCCTGTGCAAAAGAGAAGCAAGGTCTTGGTGGGCAGAAGCTCAGTAGGAAAGCATGGCATGACTGGTCAGCACCCTCATATCCCTCTGGGAGCTGGGAGCTGCCAGTCTTTYGCCTGGCTGGTTGCCTGCTTAGGAGGCAGAGTTTCTGTGCTTGAGACTGTGCCTGCCTGGCTGTGAAGCATCGATACCCTCTGTCCTCAAAGCAGCAAAGGTCTGAGTGTCACAGGAGCCTTTTGTGCACTGTTCTGCTAGCACACATTGCTGGCAAACATTGGTTTGATTTCAGAAAGATTTCAGAACCTTCAGAAAATGTGGAAATGCATAATGTCAATATTGTTTTATGTAGTAAGAAATTATACTTTTATTCATTGTAAAAAATGTGCATACAGAACATAAAGTGCTAAGGGAGGCTAGATTTAGATGCATAGGCTTTCAAGCTAGATAATTCCATGTGAAAGAGGAATACATTTTATGGTTTTAAAATGAAAGAGGGTAGATTTAGATTGGACAAAAAGAAAATACAATTATGAGTATGGTGAGGCACAGAAACAGGTTGTCCAGAGAAAGTGCTCATGACCCATCCATTCAAAGTCAAGTTGAATGGGATTTTGAGCAATCTTGTCAAGTGGAAAGATGATTCTTCTTATGGTAGGGATGTGGGACTAGGTGATCTTTAAACTTCCAAGCCAAACCTCTCTGTGATTCTACAGGTGTGTGCATGGGAAACGGAATCATGGTGCAAGTGCAAGTGCCCATGTGGTCCTATTTTTCTGATCCATAAAGTCAAGACTGGATGTAATGAAGACAAATAGCCAGTGCTGATTTATTTTTCATAGTGGCATTTAAACAACATGATTCCAGTAAAATGGGGTTTCACAAACAAAACAGTTGTTCAATGGAAATCCTTGTCTGTTCTATGTCACGTTATTCCTCTGTCTTATGTAGTACATTGATATCAGATTCCTGGAAAACAAAAAACACACACACACACAGAAGCTGGGAATAGAGAAGGTAATCATTGCAGGGGTTCTGCCAAAAGTTTTTTGCTCTGTGCATCCAATTTTATATTCTTCATATCTGTAGTATGTTACTGAAATCTGATTTCCTGGCTGCTTTGCAGATCATTTGCATCTCTGCCCTGTGATATAAAAGGCTTCCTCATTGATTGGGGAGCTTTTTATATCTTCTCAGCACTCATGTTTCTCTGACATAGATATCTATGCAAGCTTTTGGGAACCCAGCCCTTGTAGTTCATGCTTCATTGCCACAAGGTAAGTCACAACAGCACTCACACAAAATGTGGGCATGGGGACTCATGGGCAGCACTCACCATCCTCCTGCCTGGCTGCTGAAGGCTACTGAAGGCCAGACAAGACCCAGGCAGAACGAGTCACAGTAGCCCTCAGCTCTGCTTCCCTGCCAGCCGCTTGCCAGACGGGATCACTCTGATGCAGCTSGGGAAGCTTGTCCCGTGCCCCAGCCTGTTCAGGGGGAATGCTGGTGCTGATGGAGGAGTGCCAGGGTTTGCTGCCAGCTGGCTGCCGGAGGTGGTGAGGGATGATGATTCCTCCCATGGGTAGTGTGAGCTCTGCCCTGCATGCTGTGCCCAGGGGAGCCTGCAGCGGCTGAGGATCTGGTCCTTCGAGTTACAGGGGTTGGAATATGCATGAAGCATAAGGTGACACTTTGAATGTCTCAGATCCGAGCATGGACGTTACTGAATTTAAAATGTAACTGCAATTTCCTGACTAATGCCAAGTCACTTTTGTATTCATGCWGTGATTGTTCTGTTTTCTTTAAACAGCCCATTTTGCCCAAAGATGCAGGTGATATCTTTATGATAATGAAGATTCATTATCCAGCACATTATAGCTGAGGCCGTTGGCTGGCGCAAGGGCCACCTACGATCAGCTGTCCTTTTTGCTTCTCAATTTATATCATGCTTTTGTAGTTTGGTTTTGATTTGTTTRAACAAGAATAGAATTAAGGTAGGGAAAAAAAAAGAAAAGAGATGCACTAGAGGTTCTATACTGTTGTCCTTTACTTCCTGTATCTAAGCTGTGTTATGCTCTGAGGTATCTCTGAGTTTCTGAGTCCTTTCAGATAGGACTGCAGTTAAATTGCTTCAGAAACCTTACACCTCTGCTGAGAGTCAGCCTGTTTCCTGACATCCAGAGCTTTCTATGGTGAAGTGCACAGGATATTATAAATAAGATATTCAGCAAGAAAGAGATAACAAAATGAACTCATATGTTTGCTATTCATTCAGAATGATAAACTTGCACATAGTCACAGAAATCACAGGTGGGCTTTCCAGCAGAGTAGGAACATCCCTGGCCCAGGCATTTTTGCACTAAGGGTGAAGTTTTAGATGATGGAGCTATAGCTGTGACCACCACAGAGACAGGATAATATCTAGGGGGGAAGGAGGGAATGAGGAAAGAGAGTCTTGTTCCTGGGTGGGTGCCCCTCTATCCTCTTTCAYCAGCAGGTTAGGGTCCTGCTGCCCCACAAACCCTAAGCCCTGAGTCTACATGGGCAGCATTTGGACCATCACTTCCCCAGGCTTTGGCAGAGGCAGAACAKATGGGGACCGGAGCAGTGTCACTGTTCCCAGGAGCCTGTTGCTTTAGGCTCCTGCCTGCTTTGCCTGTGAGCTGTCTGGACTGCCACCATCTACCTTTGGTTCTGCTAAACACAAAAAAGGTTAGATGAGAGGCTGGAGTAATTACAGGAGTGAATTGTTATGGCATAGGGATTTGTGGAAGTGGTGCTGAGGGCCCAGTCAGGAAGAGCATTTTAAGCGACATACCTGCTAATTTGCCTGAAACTTGCCTGCTTATTAAAAGAAAAAAACCTAAAAAGTACCGCTGCCTGCATGCAATGAAACCCAACTAATCAGCAGTTCCTAGAATGCTTGAGCTTGACTTGAAAGAAAGGCAGATTGGACATCCAGATGAGACAGGTGCACAGGAGTTTCACGAAGTAATGTTTTGCTCTAACTCCCAGAATTTGTGTGCCTTTATCTTACCTGTTTGGCACAGTCCCTGCGAGCCATCTATGCTTTAAAGGCGTAACTGTGGTTACACTTGCAGCTGCTTTCCTTGGCCCATCTTTTTATTCATCTTTTATCTGTGCACACTCTGGTGTGTGACCAGGGCAGCTGCAATGGTACCTTACTCATCTGTACTGTTCCCAAMACAGGGCCCTTCAACTAGCAGGTACTGGTGCAATAGAAATAGTAATAACCAGGAGCAGTATGATCAGACATGGATTTATTAGGTGGGACTGGGGTATGTATATTTGGAATGAGCAGAGTGAAAGAGGGGAGAGAAGTTTGARGGCCTCTAGGTGATGGTAGCCTGGAGATTGATGCTGCAGCATTTCTAATTTAAAGAGTTTGACATAGAGATCCTGGCAGGTATTGTGTAATTTTATTTTAATATTTTTCCCTGCTATAAATAAGACTTGGTGATGGAATAATCACCAGAACCTGAGTAAACATCATGCCTGCCAGTGATAAGCTGTTTCTTCTGACGACTCARTGTGTATCTCGATATCACAAAATGTGGTACATTTTATGTTTGTGCAATTCTGTTTTTCCTTCTGGCTATTTTTACACGCATCCCCCTCTCTTTTTCTCTCCTGTGTACAGATGTTCGTATTCACCCCATGGAGCCTATGCCCAAAGCAAACTTGCCCTTGTGTTATTTACCTATCGACTACAGCATCTTCTGACTGCAAATGGAAGCCATGTGACTGCTAATGTAGTAGACCCTGGAGTAGTGAATACTGAGCTCTACAAGCATGTCTTTTGGGTTGTGAAAGTGGTCAAATGGATGACAGCCTGGCTGCTTTTCAAGGTATGCTGTTTTAAAAATAATTTTGTTGCTGTGYCCCTGCCCTGTGAAAGCTGCAGTTGACCTGGAGCTGAAGGAGCTTCAGAGTTTATAATAGTGTGTGGTATTTATTGCATTTCTCTGTGCTGATCAGATGWACCAAATCAATAAAGACAGGCTTTCCAGCAAACATTTATTTTAAATGGAAGCAGAAAGCTGCCACAGTAGGCAAGAGGAACGCCTTTCTGGTTATCTCTGTCCTGATCGATCCACGTGATTCTGTGCGTGCATGGGGCAGGGAATCATCCTAACATGGAGCCAGAATATGCAAAGTGTTCCTCAGAAATGACTTGTACATTCTCCTAATGAGAAGAAGGCATGATCTGGCATGGTCTACATGTACACAATGTTTTACAGAGAAGAGGGCAAAAGGAAGAAGGAAATTGTACAGAAATAGTAGGAGGTRGCTGTGTGCGTCCAGATGCTCGTGCTAAGGGAGGTGGGATAATTTTCAATTAGATTTTTCATCCTTACACAAACTTGTAATTTTACTTGACATTTTATTATCTGATCCTGATCTGCATTAGGAAACATRAAGTTGTTTAATAACACTGATTCAGAAGTGGGGCAGACCCAGGTATGAGTAATGTTTTGTAGGGGTGTAAGTAGATTAATCTGAAATCAGTTTAGCTGTGTAGGTGCAATCTCCTCATGTGCACAAGCCTTAGAAGAGCTTGTGCTGAGAAAAKGTACTGCTCATAGCTCTTTCAGAAAGCAGTTTCAGATTAAGTAAATGGAACCTGATTCCATTAGAGAAAATTAAATGTCCTAATTAAAATGAAGTATTTTGCATCAAGGAGCATGTCCCACAAAGCAAATTAATTTTAAACTTTGATATGGAAATATCAGTAGCTTTCATTTTAGAAATGAAACTGGAGGCTGGTAGAGTGACTGTAAAATAAGATGCAAACAAATAAACCCATATTCAAAAWAAGTAGTATCTTCTGAGTGCACCTTGAATATTGCAATAAAATTGTAATAAGAATGCTCATAATGTGCAATGCATTCTTAAAGAAGCAGACTGTAGCTTTGCCAAACCATCTAAATTAAACTTGTTTTGCCTCTTGTGATTGCCATTTTAAATCAGTCKTGGGTGGTGGTGTTTTATAATTGGACTTACTTCACCTTGCTAATATAACAGTTTCACGWAGACATTTAGGTTGTGCTCAGCATTTCCTCTGCAGAGACAAAATTCTGACAAAATTCCCACGTCTGAGAGTGAATTTTGAGTCTCTTGTTGTTTACAGTGCTCAATCCCACCCAGTTTTATTGATGTGCCCAGGAGACATTTTTGTATTATACTGATGATGTTTACACACTGAATTGGATGACATTGAACACTTAAAATGATTTATCACAAGAGGGATTTGCATTCTTACAACCCTGATAGTCCTGCCATGGAGAGTTCCCGATCACTTCCTTCTATTTTGGATGAAATACTGTTCAAAAGAAATTTTGCCTTGAAATAGGTGGTAGACAGACTGATCTGCATGGAAGAGCAATATCTGTGGTATTGAAAAAGCAAATGTATTGATTGCTTTTTGAGTCAGAATAAGCTCAGGTTTGGATAACTGAATGCGTCAGTTATCGAGGTTGAGATTTTCACTTTTTTGTRTAACACTCCATTTGTTTTTTCCAATAGCCAGAGGAGAGGCAAATTCTTACTTTCTCTCTTCCCATCCTCCCTTAGACTTCTGAATTACAGCTCCAACTTCTACYCTCTGCTTATGGATTATTGTTTAGGATATATCTATGTGCTTAGGAGCGCTTCATCCCAGAGGTGTGCCCTGTTTGGCATCACAAACAGGCAATGTTTAGCTCTACAGCAAACTCGCATTAAAAGCCTGCCTGAAATTTTTAATAGTGCTCTATGGAGGGCCATAGTACTCAGAATTCAAGCCTGTGTGAGTTTTGTGTTGGTCTCGTGCATTAGGGTAAATTTCCCCTGAGAAAAGTGAGAAAGCAAGTACGAGAAAACTCAGTTGTCTGCTAATATTAGCTGATAGTTGGAAGTATGGATTTTTTTCTCCCCTGGAATTTCGTTCCTGAGCGCACTTATATAAATCTTCCTTCCAGGATTATGGCAGTAATGCAGCGAAAATGAGGTGATATCTCTCTAATAATATTGACTTAACTAACTATTATCACTCTGAAGTATTCCAGAGTGGTTTCCAAACGTGTGCAGGAAATTGSTTCACCCACTGCAACATGGCACTCGTGAGAGCCAGCACAGCCCACKGAGCTTCGGCAAGGACATTCATCACATCTCACTCCCTCAGGAGAGAGTCAGCATCTTGTTTGATTTAATTCCAAAATATTGTGCCAGAGCCCCCAGTACCTTCAAACRCATTTCTGCCAGCACTGGTCCCAGTTGCATTCAAGTCAAATATCTCCCAGGGATGCAGCCTGGCCCCTACCTTTGCTGGACTGCTCGAGTTTGAGGCAGCTCAGTGTGGCAGACAAGGCTGCCAGCTCAACACCCGCCTTGGAGCTGCCTYGAGATGTTTAGGTACTTAAACAAATAGACCTACAGTCTTCTAAATAGGACATGATGCATATGCATAATTTACTCAAAGTATTAACAGCTTGCGTTTCTTAAAACYGCAAAACCTCTCCTAGTCTTTATACGTGGCTCAGAAAAATCTTGGCCAGATCAGTTTGGTGTTTTTTTCGCTCCCCCAAAAGTTGCAGTGAGAGGCATTCCTGTAGAAATAGGACAGACCAAACGAAAGGTTTTGGTGACAGTCATAAAATTTGTGAAATTGATGCCTRCCTGTTAGAAGTGATGGCTTCATTTTTTGTCAGCTTGATTCTTAGATGAGTTATTGTCTGCTGTAGTACTCTGATTTTGCACTTTGCAAATGTTTTTTCTGTATTTTTCATAAACTTGGACTTCACCTGTCACACAAGATAGAAATTCTGTTTATTCCTCAAAAAAAAAAAAAATTCTTTCCCTATGACTTCTTGGTAAATAAAGCCTGATGAGCTGACACAGTTGTCTGCAGAATGCAGTGAAGTATGTTATCCCTTAATAATTCTTAACATAAATTGATCTTTTTGAGGAGATAAACTCCAAACTAGTAAGCACTAACTAATTAATGCAATAGTAATAACCTAAAAAGTCATTTACTGAGCATCAAATTTCAATTTAGCTAAATGTGCAACGCACCAGCTTCAGTGTTGGGTACCATGCAAGCTGGAAGCCAGGAAGTACCATTTGCCTCTCAAGTATTTCTGCATCTGCAGCAGATACTGAATATTCATTCTTAAGCCAGATGGTCTCTGCTTGTGATACAATTAAAATGCCTTAGAGAAAAACAAAAAAGTTGACTCTCATTAACGTCCGATAACAGGAACTGTTCTGCTTTGTATGACTTCATTATGGCATCAGAGTAGAGACATTTCCCACATAGCAATGTTATAAAGTTCCCCAAAACCTTGTTTATGACAAGCTTGGTGAACATGTCATTATCAGATGTGGAGTACTTGGTCCTTTCAGCAGCCTCAGATTGGTATTTAGGAAGGCATTGTGGAAGGAAGGCTTTGCATCAGATCCTGTCTCAGCTGTCATTTCCAAAGATGCAGTGCCACTTAAGTGATTATTGACTGACAAACTGAAAATGAGTAGGATTACTGACCCTGCCAGCCTGTAAAAATGAAGGGAAAGGCTTCAGGAACATGGGCTAGATAGACATCAGCCAATAGAAACTAATTCGTTTCCTTCACTTTGTCAAAATGGGCTTAACTTCAGAGTAATTTTCCTATAGCATTTTTTAAAAAATGCTTCCAGTCTGTGAGCATGTCTAAAACACAGGATCTAAAGGACTTGGATTCATCATTCATGCCAGAGGACACAGCCAYGCAGTCTTACTGCAGCATTTCTTATTCAAACTGTCCCCTTGGCACTGCGAATGTAGTACATTTATTTCATCCTCCCCCCAGGTGTCAGAAGACAAACACATCAGCACACAATAACAGCAGCTGTAGAGAATGAGAGTAATTAAATCYCACAGCTGAAAGCAACAATTCATCAGCATCAACATCTCTTGTGCATGGGAATGTGTGGTCCTCACATAAAGCTAATCTGGGCCTTTCTCACAAAATGAAAAATTGCAGAAACGTGTAATTTGCAGTTAATTTTTACAAAAGATTTTTCTGGTCAAAAACATAGAGAAGAAAACAGTCTACTTAAATCCAGTAACTCTGGTCTTTCACCAGATACCATTTTTATACAGATACACACTGGTGCAGGGATTGAAGCTTTCAGAGACATAGCTGGTCTTTTTTCCCATCCAATAAATATTTTGTTATTTTTACAGCCATAGAATGATTCTATGGGGAAAAATGGAGAGACCAGCCCGAGAAGGCTAATGAATAATCTACTATTAAATTCCCAAATCCTGGTGATCTATTTTTTCTTCTTGATTGTGAACTCCTGGACTTGGTTAGGCATCCAAGTCCTGCCAGTTGTGGGGCATGTGGATAGAGCTTGGCTGTTTTATTTATTGTAGGTGCTGAGCACAGAGCCCTTTGGGTCTGTTTGAAGTCAGATCAAACCCCTGTAAGGCAGGCTGGCCCTCACTGCACACATAAATGGCTTTGCACTCTGATCTCCACGGAACCTCTGGTTCCCCTGCAACCCAAGATATCACTATTTTTCTGCCTGTTTTCTAAGGTCTAAGTAGTTAAAATATTTATTTTAAGAGAAATGTTGAGAGTTGTCACAGTGTTTTGACAGCAAGAAAATGAAGGATTTTTGTTGCTTTTATGGCGTGCAAAGGGGTTTACAATTGCTGCCCAGGACAGCACAAAATGAGTGGGATTTGGTCACAGTGCAACACAGGGAGTTAAGGATGTTAAAGTTCTTGTTTATAACTCCTATTTGGAGCAGCTGCTGGTGTGATTTATCCCCAAGCCACACCCAAGCTTCCTCTTGGGGAGTGCCGTGCAGTTGAAACAGGCCA